CTTATTTAAACCAAAGTCCAAAATTAACAAATCCTCCAGACTGACAACATATCACCCAGTTCTCATGACTTCAGGGGGATCCCAGACTGACTTAGGACACACAAGGCCAGTACTAACAGTGGATCAGAACCCTCACCCAGGAGTGTAGCACATAGTGTAGATATGGAGATTCAGCAAGCGAGAATCAGCCTTCAGGTTCAAAGCTGTACAGTGGGAAATCTCCCAGTGACCCTCCGGGGTACAGAAAGGCATTTACTACCACAGGCTCCTAGTCCCAGGACGCTGCTTATTGGCACGTTTCAGGAATGTGGCAGGGAGTTCTGTTCACTCCTGTCCGTTGGAAATGAATCGCACACTCTTTGGATGGAGACATCTTTTCAGGCTACTTGGCTCAACTCCATTGTCGTGTCAGAAACCTCTCTTCTCTCAGGAGAGTGAGGGAGCCCGGAGGAAGCAAGGCCCAGGAACATAATGAATTACTGAGTCGTCTTCTCCAATTTGACAATAATGAATCCAAATAAGATTTTGCTAGTGTTGGTGGACAGGATGTTCTCTAGAAGCCAATAACTTTCTAATTCCAATTAGGATCATTGTGACAGCCAAAAGGCTAAACAGAGCCACAGGGCACACCCACCACAGAGACCAAACCTCCCTCTGAGATAACGAGGCAGATGGTCAAGGACCAGGGCACTGGGCAGAGTACAGAGCTGCTGACCCTGAAATCTGCAGTGTACACTTTTAGGGTCTTAAAATTTAGAGAACAGTTGGCCATGATAATGTTTTAGGTTCTAAATATCACTAAAGCTTTGTAACCCCCAGCAAGAAAGCATTTGAACCAATAGTGATTAGGTTCCCTGCTTCACTAGATGGGTCTTAGGAGGAAACAGGCCATTGAGTGAGAAACCAGCTCCTCTGAAGGAAGAACACAAGGGAAAAGTAGACAGTGAGGTGCTTATTCTGCTCTGACAGGTGAGAGCTGGGGTGGGACTGAGCCTGATCACAGCTTGAGGCTAAAATGGTTACAGCATCCTTCCTGCCTTAGAACTCAACCTACCCTCCACCCAACCCCAACAGCTCTTGGACGGGAGCTAAGATATGGTCTCACAGAGCACTCGGTGTGAGGCCCAGCACTGTAAGGTTACAGCAACCAGGAGAATGTGTGGTGTCTGAGGAAATCCTGCCATGTGAACCGGGAAAGGGGAGGGCATGCGGAGTCAGAGGTCATACTGTCACTTCGCTCAGTGCACAGACTCCTTCTTTTAAAAACTTCCTAGCCTTGCCCTGGACGGGTGGCTCTGTTGGTTGGAGCACTGTCCCATACACCAAAAGTCTTCAGGTTCAATTCCCACTCAGGAAACATACCTAGGTTGCGGGTCAATCCCTGATTGGGGCACATATGAGAGAGAGGCAACCAAATGATGATTCTCTTTCACATTGATGTTTCGCTCTCTCTCTCATTCCCTTCCTCTTTCTCTAAAATCAATAAAAAACACCCTCTGGTGAGGATAAAAAGCAAAACAAAAACAAAACAAAAAAAATTTCTAGCATGATCATTGATCAATGTGTTCATCTTATGTCATTTCCAGCAGTAACTTCTTTAATGCCAGACCAGTCTCCTCAATGAGATTTTCCTCACCACCAGTCCCTAACTAGTGCTCAGCAGGAAACCACCGTCTCCCTGGCTAAGGCCATTGGCAGGTTCATCGTAAATGAGATGGCTCCCAACCATTGGATGCTTCAGCCCAAATGGGAAGTAGCCCATTGGGAATTCCTCTTCAGATGTCCCCAAGGATCTCCAAGTGGAAAGTCTACAACTAAACCTTCCATCTTTTTCCTCCAACTAAAGCCTCTACTTGCCATGACCTAGATTGATGAATTGCCTTCCTTTCATTGACCGCCCACCTCCTCCCCTTTCCAAACTCACTGGCGGCCTAATCCTTACTGCCTCTGCCCCTGGACAGCTCTCTAATCCACGCCTTCTCTCCACAGCCTCAGTCAGGCCCTTCTCCTGCAAGGCCACCCCCCCCCCCCCCCCCCCCCCCCCCCCACCCCCCACCCCCCCCCACCCCCCACCCCCCCCCACCCCCACCCCCCCCCCCCACCCCCCCCCCGCCGCCTGAAGTTTCCTTAGTGACACTTTTTTTTTCTTTTTTTTTTTTTTTTACAGCTATGGACACTAGTAATCCACAGAGATTTGTGATTTCTTCATACTTAACCATAACTTCCTTAGATACAGAAACCTTGTCTTTTTTTTTTTTTTTGTCCAATTTTCCTCTGTGGTAACCCTGGGATTTGCACATAATAAGTATGCAATAACTAGACTTTAGCAATAAAGAATGGGTTATCTGAAAGTGACTGCACTCATTCCCCCAAAGAGCAGCTCATTAGACAATTAAATATTTCCTCTTTTCCCAGCACAATTAACAATCTTATAGATGCAAACGGACTATACGCACATACACATGCATACACGATCTGCCCTTAGCTACCTTTACTAGTAAGTTAATCTTCCAGCAAACACAAAGAGATCCATCTCCCAAATAAGGAAAGCATAAATTGGTTCTTATTCTTTGTTCCTGGCCGGCCCTGAGGAAAATGACACAATGCTTAGTAACAAATGAGAAATTATTTTGCAAAGCCATGTCCTCAAAATGCCACCAATCATGGGTCATGAATCTTTCCTTCCTGCATTTTGATTCCATGGCTATGACTTAGTGTGATAATTATATTACAAAGCTATTATTCGATGAAATGAAAATGACAAAATAATTTAAATGACTGTCGAAAAAGGACTTGGTTAGTATGCAATTATAAGTGAAATTATAATGGCAAAATAACTGAAATCCAGGTCTGGAAGGCACAGCTATGAAACCATTAAGATGCTTCTTTGTGGACTCACAACATTGAGTGAAACTCGACACTCCTGGGGACCCATTTGTAATTCCCGAAAGCTGGCAACATGCATGGAGAAATCAAAAGGTCTGCGCTCCAGTTGTTCCACAGCATTATCTACACTTCTGAATGCCGCCTGGGGGGGTGACCGCCTCAGGGATGGTAGGCTATAGGACAGTCAAATAAGAACCATGTGCCATACTGTGCTTCCATCCGGCACCGTGAAGATAAAGGCACAAAGGCAAGCTCAGCTTAGATTTTCCTGAAATGTTTCCAATATAAAAGGTGGGATCATAACATGAAAAGATTGTGTATTCTAAACTTAAGCCTGCAATTATTAAATATATGTGTGGATGTATTCCTAAGGATCTATCTTCTTAAAACATTCTGCTGATATATTCCTTTAACAAAATCTTGATAATTATGTTGATGCCCAGGCTTACAGTGGGTCTACTTTCTCTCCAAAGGGAAAAAAATAAAGTGCTAGATTTGAAACAGATATGCTGGAATATCAATTTAACAAATGACTAAGGATCCTCCTTTGAAGCATGTTGTGCATTTTGATGGTTGAACATCCAAATGTGTCTACTACTGGCAAAAATTATGCAAAATATGCCCCCCTCTCACACCTTCCACCTCACAGTCCTCTTTCATGGTCCCATCTCTTTCAAAGAAGCCAATGCTAGAAATTAACAAGCGTGAAAGGAGTAAGATACACATCCTTTCACTCATGACTATCCCTCTCGTGTTGTCACAGAGCAGGTTAGGAAACGGTCTTTAATTGTTTTTCACACAGAAAATTTCTCAGCATCCATGATTATAGCATTACTTAATAGAGTGGCAAGGTTTCCACAAAAGGAGTTGCATATTTTTGTTTTTCAAACTTTAGTTGAAAAAGTCTCTTGGAAATAGAGATAATAGGTATTCTTACTCTCTTTCACAGACTCTGAAACTCGTAAAGATTTAATACGCACATAAGCATGTTCCCTGTGGCATGCTTAGCAAAATGTACAAGTGTTTGAAATAGACTCTTAAGTTGTTGAGGATATTCCACTGTGTACACATTTCTCTAACTTCTTACATTCACTGCCCAATGGAAATAAGTGAAAGTATTAACCACAGCTTTTAACAATATGAACCTTGAGTCCATGGCAACTGTATAATAAAATTCAAATCTGCTAGGTGTTTTTTTATAGGAGGGTCATATTATTTTTAACACATATCACTGAAATAATAATATGATTTTAAATAGATTTTTAAATCCTTTGAGAAAAATGAAGTTTTTCCAGTTTAGGCACAAAGGTATGAACTTTGAAAAAGATAGAAAAAGTAATGTAGAGAAAAATCTATGAATAAGACTAGTTGAAAAAATGAACATGAAAACATACACATAAATTACAGAAAAAACAAAAATTAGTAGGGTCCTGAAGTATTTTAACCAAACTATTTGGAATCTGCAATCACATTTGTCAGAATTTCGTATAATTAACCTCTGTATTTAGGAAAATGTCAAGTAAGTTTCATATAACAGCTTACCTTTGGAAGTTGATAAAGGATAAACCAATGTTACATTTATAACAGTATAAGTTAAAATAGTGTAACTTACTTTGAAATGCATGAAAATATAAGTTGGGTTGATGGATGGACAGATAGGTGATAAAGAAAATATAGGAGCCCTAGCTGGTTTGGCTCAGTGGATAGAGCGTCAGCCTGTGGCCTGAAGGGTCCCAGGTTTGATTCCGGTCAAGGGCACATGCCCTGGTTGCAGGCTCGATCCCCAGTGGGGGGCGTGCAGAAGGCAGCCAATGGGTGATTCTCTTCACTGATGTTTCTATCTTTTTCTCCCTTTCCCTTCCTCTCGGAAATCAATAAAAATATATTTAAAAAAGAAAATATAGTAAATGTTAACAATAGAATCTAAGTGGTGGATATATATATGGGCATCATTGACAATTCTTTTGATTTCTTTGTATGTTTAAAATATTTCATAATAAAGTGTTGGGGGAAAAAATACAGTGCTCTAGACGAATTGTATTCATCCTATTTGTTAACTATGATCAACAGAGAAACCCCTTTCAAAACTTGTCCCTCTGACCTGAAGCACTCACCTAGCCACCCGGATCCGGAATTTGGTATGCACAAGTCCGTCTCAGCGCTGGGCAACACAAAGCCAACAACAAACACCTCCACACCGTCCGCCATGAGGGCCAGGCCCAGGACAAAGAAAAGGGTCCATTGAAAACGGCCATGACCACACTCTTGGATTATCAGCTCATATTGCTGAGCTAGTTCTTCCTCATCGGCTTTCCTCTCTGACTCCAGCTCCTGTCGGTCCTTGTACTCATCACCCTTGGGCTGCCCCATTGACACGATGCTGTCTTTCCCTTGGTTCGTACTGGGAATGCCCTGATACTCCCCTTCGTAGATTTCATCATCTTCATCGTGACCCTCAGTAGCTTCACTGGAGCCTTCATCGTCATTGGCCTCCCCACCGTAGGTTTCTCCAGGTGGGTAATAGTCATCGTCTTCTTCTTCGTCCTGGAACCGATTGTAGGACCTCTGGGTGTATTCATCCTGGGCCCGGTCCACTGCTTGATTCACCTTCTTTACTGTTTGTTTCTTCACCACTTTGGCAATGTCCTTGGCACCCTTCACCAGTGAAGTCCTATCCTTGTAAGAGTCTTCCATCGTGTCTCAACTGATAGCCAATGAGAAGATGGGAATTTTTTATAAACTTTGGTCAGTGGCTCAGTCCGACAGCATCATCCACTTTGGGTTCAAAACAGAACTGCAAAAAAAGAAAAACCACAGGAGATATTTATTATTCCTTTCTACGTCTTTTTCACCATCTATTTCTTGCTGTCTTTTCACTGTCTCCTCAGGCTAAAACACATTCTTTGCCTTTCCTTTCTTTGATATCACTGTACACATGCACAGTGGATGCTGGTTCTCTGCACCTGGAGCATTTAGGGTCTTTATTATTATTGTTGTTTTGTTTTAAGGAACTCTGACCATGAGGTAACTTTGCATAGAATGCAAATAGGACATCTGTCACATTTAAATATATATCCAGCACCCAGTCGGTATGGCTCAGCCATTGAGCATCAACCCAGGAACCAAGAGGTCACTGGTTTGGTTCCCAGTCAGGGCACATGCCCAGGTTGTTGGCTCGATCTGCAGTGGGGGGCATGCAGGAGGCAGCTGATCGATGACGTTCCTCTCTTATTGATATTTCTATCTCTCTATTTCTCCCCCTTCCTCTCTCTCTCAAAGTCAATAAAACATTAAAAAAATTGTATATGACACATATTGAAAATAATACAAAGATATATCCTGATTGAGAAAAATAATATTGCTCACACACATCTACACACACTACAAAAGCAAAACCAGAATATGAGAATAATCCTATCTGACCTTAATTCCTCACATAAAAAAAAAAAAACCCACACCAAAAAAACGAAAACAAAAAAAAGCAGGCAAGCAGCCCTATATACAGTGCTATTAAGTCGTATATATATTTGTAAAATGTATTTTCCCTCTACTTTCATTGCATTTCCTTCCTATAAACATATCAGAGATTCACAGGGCACCCTAAACGGACAATGAGCATTTTCCCCTAGTATAGCAGCCATGTCCTTAGGAAACAGGCAGAGTTCATCAAATGATTTTGCAGACGCCTTTGGTAATCAATGAGTCAGAACATCTGCTTGTTTAGTGGGAGGTCTGCCCTTTCAGAAACCACCCCAAGACAGCGGGGCAGGTAAGCCACATGCAATGTCCCTGCACATCCCCACCCTGTAAGTACTCTGTCTCTACTTTCTTCATCTCTGGACACCCTGGCCCCACTCCCACACTCACACCCTCCCTCTCATCTTGTCCTGCTGCCACTCCAGTTAACTGCTGTCTAGGAAACCAGGGTCAGTGGTCTGCCCTGCCCATCACTTGGTTTTCTTTCTCAATGACAGCCTCCTAGGTCTTGGCTCATTACATTTTTTTTTTTTAACAATGTGGCTTGTTTTTTATTTTTATTTAATCCTCACCCAAGGATATTTTCCATTGATTTTTAGAGCAAGTGGAAGAGAGAGGGAAAGACAGAGAGAAATATCAATGTGTTTCTCACATTGATTGGTTTCCTCCTGCACGAGCCCCGACCAGGGCCAGGACTGAGGAGAAGCCGGCAACCAAGGTACGTGCCCTTGACTATAATCAAACCCAGGATCCTTCAATCCCCAGGCTGATGCTCTATTTATTGAGCCAAACCGGCTAGGGCTTGGCTCATTACATTTGAACTGACCTCATGGTAACCAATCTTTCACTTGCCCACTGAGCTATCTCCTTCGGTGGCCCAAGTGAGCCAATGTCAGGCCCACCCTTGTACATAGATGATATAAAGGTGAAAATGTTATTCTGTTCCATTTTTTTGTTGTTGTTGCTGACAATCCTCACCCAAGGATATTTTTCCCATTGAGTTTTAGACTGAGTGGGGGAAATGGGAGGGAGGGAAAGACAGAGAGAAACACAGATGTGTGAGACACATTGATTAGTTGCCTCCTGCAGATGCCCCTGAACCGAGGTTTGTGCCCTTGACCGGAATCGAACTTGAGACCACTCAGTCAGAGGGCAACACTGAGCCAAACCAGTTAGGGCCGCCCCATCATTAACCCCCAAGCCCTGTGCTGTGGCAGCATTCCAAACATCGATTTATATAATGGCCATTTCTACTTCTTCCTTTTGTATAAAATACTTGGTAAGTGGCTATTACAAACATACATTTAAACTGCTCACTCAGACATCACTAACAAACCCAACAATAAAGACAAAAAGATGTTTGTTTATAAATGGACTGCGCTTCATTACCGCCGAATCCCTACACATGCCCTGTAACAGGCAAGACAGAGGCGTGGCTCTGCAGACCTGTGTTTTGGAAAACAACAGAATGAAATTAAAGTAAACATGTGATTACAAGGCTTTCTGCCCAGTGTCTTAAAGGATTCTTCTTTGTTCTCTTCCTTCTTTCTCTTTGGAGAGCCGAGAGGCAGAAGAAGGGAGAGATGCAAAGACCGCGAGGAGAGTCAGAAAAAAAGGAAAGGCAGTGAGAAGAGGGTGAGGATGGGGTGCTCAGGAACTCAAGGGGGCAAGAAAAAGAGAAGGGAGAACGATGAGGAACAATGCTGGAGAAGGAGAGACATTTTCTACTTTAAAAATTGGAAGTGAAATTAAAACATTTCACACAATAAATGAAGCCAACGGCTGTACTGCCCATAAACGGACGATCATGTCAAACGCTGCACAGCAGCTGCTTCCTGTGCACAGAGCACCATGGACACTGCGGAGCGCGACTGTGCATAGAGCACCATGGACACGGCGGAGCGCGACTGTGCACAGAGCACCATGGACACTGCGGAGCGCGACTGTGCACAGAGCACCATGGACACGGCGGAGCGCGACCGGCGCCTGGCCAGTGTGAGAGCGGGCCGAGCCGCCTTAAGGCGCCCCATCCCCACCCCCGGGGCAGTGCCGGCTAGGAAAGCTTCTGCAATTGCTTCTTCTAATCAATAGTAAATAAACTCACTGCACTGGCTTTCCTGCTTTTGCTCTGTCACAAATATTTTAACCTCATGCTTAAAGGGGTTCTCACCCCTTCCCCCGAAAGGCCCCTGTCCTGGGGCCACCTCTAGACAGAAAGCAGGCATGCTGTCTCCAATGGCATAATTATGACAGAAAATTAGATAATTCTAACCCCTAACTGATCTAATCATGTGAGCAATGAAAAAAGAAAAAGAAAAATTATGATTCAACTTTTCAGTTTTGAAAAAACACTTCTTGTGAAAGTCTTGATCAGGCCCCAAACAGGGAATGTGTGTATAAGCTCTTTCTGTGATTCGAGGTTCCTCATGCCCCAAACACAGGCTCTGTCAGGGGTGGGTAGGGAACAGCCTGCCCACAGGCCACAGAAGGCCCACGAAATCATTTGGCCTGGCCCTGCCAAGGAATTAGGGGTGAGTTAATTAAGTGTTTGACCGAATATAGCACGTTAAATTTTAAATTGATAATTTTGTGTGGCCCAGAAGCTAATCTATAATAATAAAAGCGTAATATGCAAATCGACCAAACAGCCCATCTGGACAACCTTCCAGACGAAGCCAGGGCTGCAGCCATGGGATTGAGGCTGCGAGGGAGGGATGGAGGCAGGGAGGGATGGATATTCAAATGCCCCTTGACAGGAAAAGGTTTCCCACCCCTGCCTGCTGATTCTCAGATCTTGATGAGAGAGACTGGGTCTTGTAGTTTGTAGTCTCATTAAAGCAAAGAAGAGTTTTCCATACTTCTGTATAAATAAGGGCAGGTATGAATACTTATTTAAAAAGTCTGTGTAAAAGCAGATGTTTGTAGACGTTGCCATTGGAGAAAACTGGGTGAAAGATATAGGTGATCTCTGTGTATTATTTGTTACAACTGCATGTGAATCTACAATGATACCCAAATAAAATGTGAAACAAGAAAATAAGTTTGCACCAGCTTTACTAAGCAATCTCGGAAAATGTGTAAGCTGCTTTGCTAGTGGGCAGACAAGTTCAGGGGAGGAGTTGTAGTTTATGGCTATGTCTCTCCCTGGTAAATGGAAAAATGAAAAAATGCTGGGCTCATCCCAGAGATCAATAGGAACATGGCAAATGGTTATCTAAGTTGAAATTTCTGGCAAATGAGAGAAAAATGGTGTTTTCTCATTGTAAGTTCCATTTGATGACTAGTGAAACTGAACATCTCTTTCCTTGTAAAATCTTTTATCTTTTGCCCACTTTTGTATTGAGGTTTATAGTTGGTTTAACGCTGGCCTCCAGAAAGATACATCTATGTCTCCTAAGCTCCAGAACCTATGAATGTGACCTTATTTGGAAAGAGGTGTAATTAAGTTGAAGACCTCGAGATGAGGTCATTCTGGATTATCTGGGTAGACCCTAGATCCAATGGCAAGTGTCTTTATAAAAGAGAGAAGACACGGACACAGAAGGGTAGGCCATATGAAGATGGAGGCAGAGGCGTTAGAGTTATCCTACATAATAAAAGCCTAGGTGGCGTCACGCCCTCGCATGACAGCGTCACAAGACGGCTGCCACAAGATGGCCACACGCACAGCAGAGGCGGGTCGGACCCGGTGGCCGCTCCACACAGTGAGGCCTGGGGGTCACACGGCTCTGCACGGCATGGAGGAGGCCGGTCCCGGCTTCTCCTCCACCTCACGCGGAGGAGGCGGGTCGTGGCAGGGGAGGGCAGTTGGGGGCCATCAGGCGAGTAGGGGAGGGTAGTTGGGGGCCATCAGGTGAGTAGGGGAGGGCAGTGGGGCCATCAGGCTGGCAGGGGAGGGTAGTTGGGGGCCATCAGGCTGGCAGGGGAGGGCAGTTGGGGGCCATCAGGCGGGCAGAGGAGGGTAGTTGGGGGCCATCAGGCTGGCAGGGGAGGGTAGTTGGGGGCCATCAGGCTGGCAGGGGAGGGTAGTTGGGGGCCATCAGGCTGGCAGGGGAGGGTAGTTGGGGGCCATCAGGCTGGCAGGGGAGGGTAGTTGGGGGCCATCAGGCGAGCAGGGGAGGGTAGTTGGGGGCCATCAGGAGAGCAGGGGAGGGCAGTTGGGGGCCATCAGGCGGGCAGGGGAGGGTAGTTGGGGGCCATCAGGCTGGCAGGGGAGGGTAGTTGGGGGCCATCAGGCCTGCAGGGGAGGGTAGTTGGGGGCCATCAGGCCTGCAGGGGAGGGTAGTTGGGGGCCATCAGGCGAGCAGGGGAGGGTAG